AGAACCTGAATTGCCTAATGAGGAGAAATAACCTCCCAACCCCAGACCTATCTAGCCTCTTTCTCTGTTACCAAAGGCATGGATAATACTCCTTTTATTGGAATGATTATTTAAACATTAGGTAATGATTGAAGTGTTTATTCAAATACGCATACCTCCACTCTCATCACTTATTTACTGAAACTAAGATAAATTATCTGAAAAAAGCAACTCAAAGTGTGTAACCATCATTAACCTTTCCTATTCTATGAACTTACTAATATTTCGAAAAGTAGGTACTAATATTTTATAAACTTTTTTAAATTCTTCAATGTGATGAAGTACTACTGTGTCAGAAACAATAAATAGAGAATAAAGTTTGGATTTGTTAAAGAAGAGACAAAATTTATCAACTTTTTAAACATGGGGAAGAAAGATGATTATAGGTCTAAAGCCAAAAGTAAGGGATGATTTTGGGCTATTTCTCGCTACAACCACATCTTTGCTCAACAAACAACAAAGGCCAAGAATCATCTGCCTATTGATAAACAATCAACTCTCAATGCGGACAACTGAGCACCACATATCGATATGCTTGACGTTTCACCATCAGGAGCAGTAAAATATCATGATTAATATTTCAGCATCTCAAACACTCAATAAAAAAGAAAGTTACATTAATAAGAGTTATATACCTATCACACGATTTACTATCGAAGTTGATCTCAACACCTTCACCAACAGGTTTTGATGCCTCAACAACCTATTAAGCTTATATATAAATTTAGATTAATAATTGAATTATTCAAAAAAAAAATTAACAAAATGTAACCCAAATCTAAAAGAAAGAAAAGCCCTAACAAAAAACTTGAATCCTACATGCATGAACTGTAACAAATCTCTACAATCTCAAACATGCATGAATTCTAACAAAAAGATTACTTATAAACTTAGCATCATTTCAGATTGAGCGAACAAAAGCTTTGCTGGTGAAGAGATGGTGATGGCGGCTTCTTTTCTAGTGAGCGATAAAATTCAAATTGAAAAGTTTTATAATGAAATTGAGAAGCCTATCCTTGTAGATATGAGCTTATCTACAGTATACGCCATGGATCGAGAGCTAATTTGGGTGATCGATTTGAGAACACTGAGAGCTAATTTGGGCGATTGATTTGGAAGATATAGATATATACCTTACAAAGACTAATTTGGGGATTGATTCAAAGTGGAAGAGTGAGTGAAAATCGTTTGACTGATTTGCTAAATTGATTTCTTTGTAATTAAGGAAAATAGATAATGAAATTAAGGAAAATATATTGAGGTATAAAAGAAAAGAAAATCTGTTGGGAAAATTTAAATATAACTGGCGTTTCAAAACACCACAATTTAGGTGATAACCGCCGCTATTGCATATTTAATATGACGTGCCGTTTGAAAATGGCCAAAATTCACTTTCTTAGACAGAATTTCCAGATTTTTCTTATTCTTTCCAAAAATCAAAATTTTCATATTTTAAACTCTTTATAGTCGTTTCTTGGTGCGAGATGTTACAGTAGGGGTGGGGGATGGGGGTAGGGGTGGCGTAAAAATGGAAAATAAATAAATTTGAAATATTTTTCATTTTTTTAAAAAAAAATTTGACAGGAATGCTCTGAGTGGGGGTGGTAGGCGTGGGAGGTGGCAGTAAAATGAAATTATTTTAAATTTGAAATATTTCCCAAAATATTTTTTAAAAATAAAAAATAAAAATTGACAGGGTGGCGGGGGAGGGGGGAGTAGCGTAAAAAACAAAATAAAAATTAAATTTGAAATATTTTTCAAAAGAATTTTTTTTGGGAGTGAGGGGGGGGGGGTAGGGGGTAGGGGTTGGAGAGGTAAAAAAAATCTTAAAATTTGAAACATTTTTCAAAAATAATTTTCAATTTTTTTTGAGGGGGAGGGGCTAGTTTGGGAGTAGGGATAAAACTATATTTGAAATTTAAAAAATTTAATTTTTTTTTAATTGGGAGGAGTGGGGTACTGGGTATGGCACAATAAAAAAGAAATTAAAGGTTGAAATAGAGTTTTGAAAAATGTTTTCCGTAAATTTGAGGAAAGCAAGTTGATTTGGAAAACATTTTCCAAACATTTAAGCCAATCAAACAAGAGAAAATTGGAAAACATTTCCAGAAAATATTTTCCCTCCATACCAAACACACCCCAAGTCTATTATCATTTGAATTAGAAATGATTGATATGGAGTAATTGACGTCAATTGAATTTTCTTTTTGATTTTTCATTCGGTATTGATACTGAAGTCCGACTATTTTGAATTTGCGCCACATAGAGCGCCATTCGGGGTCGGGGAAAGTGCTCCCTTTAAAAAAAAAAAATTATACCCAAATTCAAATTAAAAAAGGAAAGAGCAACTCCACCCTCTGTCGCACCTCCGTAGTTGATCGTAATTGAACATATTTTAGTTACACTTGTTTTGAAAGGTTATCCTCCTTACAAATGTCTCTACTTCTTAAAGAGAATGAAAAAAAAAAGACTTGGTCATTACAACATTTTTAATTAGTTTTCGTTGACAAACTATTTATTAATGTTTCCTTATTTTATATAAATAAATAATGCAAAAATAGGTTCTTGTTTAAGTGTAAGTTGAGGGGGTGTTGGGAATGATATTAAACTGAAATGTGAAAAGGTCAGATAACATGTGAACATACAGCTAACATTATAGAGTACGATTACTAAGTTTAATTGATTCTTCAATACTTATTTTGTTTTTTGGCTCAACACAAAACATAAAAAAATAATATTTTTTTGAAAAATTAGGGTTAATAGGACCTTCGCATCATTTTTTTTAGATATACAAGTGATAATTTCATCATATATTTTTATGTTTTATTACCTTTATTTTGGTTTCCATCAATGATTGACCTATGGTACTATTTTTTTAATTTCAGCTTGTTTAGAGTGCTCCTTATTTATTATCTATGATACATCGATTTGACTGAGCTTTTGGTGTTGTTCTTAATAATTTATAATCAATTATATAATGATCTTAGGTTAAATATTATATAGATTAACTTAATTACCTATAATCGATTGACTTTTCTTCAAAAATATTACCAATAAATTAATGAACAAAACGTTAATTGGGATATGATGATAGAAACCTAAGCAAAGCTATAAATTACAAATTAGACTAATAAAGAAATCGATTAACACGTCTTCTGGATCCTAATTTAAAAGTTGGTGTTGAAAGCTTATGACTAGAGTCAATATACTGAAAGCAGTCTCTTTATTGGATACTTTCACTCCTCCTATCCCAATTTGTGCGGCACAATTATTTCGATAATCTTATTTTATAATTTTAACTGAATTAGGTTATTTGATTTTTAGATTTTCCAAAATAAAATTTATAAAATATTTTCCCTCCATACCAAACACACCCCAAGTCTATTATCATTTGAATTAGAAATGATTGATATGGAGTAATTGACGTCAATTGAATTTTCTTTTTGATTTTTCATTCGGTATTGATACTGAAGTCCGACTATTTTGAATTTGCGCCACATAGAGCGCCATTCGGGGTCGGGGAAAGTGCTCCCTTTAAAAAAAAAAAATTATACCCAAATTCAAATTAAAAAAGGAAAGAGCAACTCCACCCTCTGTCGCACCTCCGTAGTTGATCGTAATTGAACATATTTTAGTTACACTTGTTTTGAAAGGTTATCCTCCTTACAAACGTCTCTACTTCTTAAAGAGAATGAAAAAAAAAAGACTTGGTCATTACAACATTTTTAATTAGTTTTCGTTGACAAACTATTTATTAATGTTTCCTTATTTTATATAAATAAATAATGCAAAAATAGGTTCTTGTTTAAGTGTAAGTTGAGGGGGTGTTGGGAATGATATTAAACTGAAATGTGAAAAGGTCAGATAACATGTGAACATACAGCTAACATTATAGAGTACGATTACTAAGTTTAATTGATTCTTCAATACTTATTTTGTTTTTTGGCTCAACACAAAACATAAAAAAATAATTTTTTTTTGAAAAATTAGGGTTAATAGGACCTTCGCATCATTTTTTTTAGATATACAAGTGATAATTTCATCATATATTTTTATGTTTTATTACCTTTATTTTGGTTTCCATCAATGATTGACCTATGGTACTATTTTTTTAATTTCAGCTTGTTTAGAGTGCTCCTTATTTATTATCTATGATACATCGATTTGACTGAGCTTTTGGTGTTGTTCTTAATAATTTATAATCAATTATATAATGATCTTAGGTTAAATATTATATAGATTAACTTAATTACCTATAATCGATTGACTTTTCTTCAAAAATATTACCAATAAATTAATGAACAAAACGTTAATTGGGATATGATGATAGAAACCTAAGCAAAGCTATAAATTAAGTTAAATTACAAATTAGACTAATAAAGAAATCGATTAACACGTCTTCTGGATCCTAATTTAAAAGTTGGTGTTGAAAGCTTATGACTAGAGTCAATATACTGAAAGCAGTCTCTTTATTGGATACTTTCACTCCTCCTATCCCAATTTGTGCGGCACAATTATTTCGATAATCTTATTTTATAATTTTAACTGAATTAGGTTATTTGATTTTTAGATTTTCCAAAATAAAATTTATAATTAGAAACTACGTAACAAAATAATACTTCCAATGTTGTTTTACTGGTGAAAGGATTTTCGTAACAAAATAATACAATTCACAATAATTAACAGATCAAAACATTGAAAAGGCCTGAAAATAGTGCAATCAAAGAAAAACTCATTTTAATCTAGAAATCTGAAATGTGTCACATAAATTGGGACGAGGGAATATATTCGATGCTTTGACCATTGGGGTTTTAAATTAATTGCTTATTATTTCAAACAAATTGTTTGGTTATTAATTTAGTATTATATGGATATATTAATCAGAAACACGGCTTCAGTTGTCTTGCTATTCCATATATAAGACTGTCAGCTTCAGACTGCAAATTAAAGTTAGTCAGAGAGAGAGTTAGATTAAGGTAAACAATCAAATTAACATAACAAAAAGAGAGATATTAATTCCAAATTAGAAAATATGGTGAGAACTCCTTTTATTGACACAAATGGAATAAAAAGAGGTGCATGGAGTGAAGATGAAGACAACAAATTAAGAGTTTTTGTTGAAAGATTTGGTCATCCCAATTGGAGGCAACTGCCTAAATATGCTGGTAAGTAGTACTCCCTCCGTTCCCTTTAATTGTTATGTTGCGCTTTCAGAGAGTCAATTTGATTAAATTATTTTAAAATAAAATTTAGATATTTAAAACCTATACAAAAAATACTATAAATTGCAACTTTTTTCGTATCAATATGATGAAAAAACACCTTAAAATATTAGTCAAAATTCATATAGTTTGACTCTCAAACAAAAAGCTATAACAACTAAAAAGGAACGAAGGAAGTACATAAAAAGCATGCTTTATTTTCTTATAAAAAGTTTTTTGGAAGAAAAAATTAAGTAAATCTTAGTACTAATTATTTATTGTTGGAATATTTCAGGACTGATGAGATGTGGAAAGAGCTGCAGGTTGAGATGGATGAATTACTTAAGGCCTGATTTGAAGAAAGGGAATTATAGTCTTGAAGAAGATCAACTCATAATTAAATTACACAATGAACTTGGAAATAGGTATATTATATGTTGCACTTTAGACATTACATTTTTACTAATCAATCAAACTAAGATGTCTATATATAGTACCCTTTTTGGATATTCCGAAATCGTAATTATTTATCAAATATATTGCAGATGGTCTGCGATTGCTGAGAAATTAGGAGGAAGATCGGACAACGATGTCAAAAATCACTGGCATGCTCATCTTAAGAAACGTGTGAGATTAATAAATACAAATTCATCACAGTCTGGATCGTGTCAATTAAATGAGCAAAATGTTGCTGCAACCTTAACGTATCCAGAGGTTTCATCAAGTGATCATTTATATTCCCTTTTCAATGGATTAACGGACTTGATCGAACAAAATCAGTCCATTGCACAACTTTCATTTTTCACTTCATTCGAAATAGATTCCTTTTCCTGGACAAATAATATCGAGACTGAATCCTTTGACCTTTTTTCAACCCAACCCTTTGATAATTTCTGGACAAAACCTTTCTTTTAAGACATTTTTCATGATCAGAACTCGAATCTAAAATTTCGAAACAATTCCAAATATTACCATCACAACCCATGTACTATAGCATAATGACATTTCAGAGTATTTAATTTTGTATTTTGAATGAATAATTACACTATACCCCATATCAAGCTTGTCGCTTTGCTTTAGTCAAATTGTCTTTTAGATAATTGATCCTTCCTCGAACGTGCCAAAAGGATATTTTATTCTCATGAATATATAAATGAAACTTGTAATAGTATATATTTGGCGGAGAAGGGTCAAAATTACCCTTGAACTATTCGAAATAGTTTATATATATCTTTTAATTATGTTTGGGATCAAAAATATCCTTGCCGTCTATGTTTTGGACCTCAAATACCCTTAAAACGTTATCTTTGCCATTAGAGTTGACATGACAGTCCACCCAGGCAGTCCAACATGGTAAAAATACCTTCCTCTCAATAATGTTCTTCTTCCTTGTTTATTCCTATTACAAAAAGAAAATCAAATATAATTCTTTCATTGTTCTTGTTTGAGTTGTTGTTCGGACTTTGGAACTTCAATATCAAAGTGTGTTGAAGTTTGTTGAGGTTGTAATTGCGTGTTGAAGGATCGAGTTCATTCTTTGGGATTTGGGGTTCATAGATTCACAAAATCGATTTATAGATTTTTCAAACTTTTAAGAACTCTTTCATATATTTATTGGGATTTCCACTCAAATCTTCAAATATCAGTCTTCAAACTAAAAAATTAGTTGTTAAATGTCAATTTCCAGCCTCAATTGCAATATCAAAGCAATTTTAAGTACCATTCAATTAAATCTCTTCAAATTTTTGCACTTCAAAAACCCAACAAATGTTAGAAATTTCTCACCAATAAGCTTTCAAATGAGTAGTTATTTTCGAGTTTCAACACAAAAAGAATGATTTCATGAGTTTTTCAACATCTTTCAACCTTGAGAATTAAATTTTTCAGCCTCAGATTCGATGACATCAAAACCAAATAATGAACTCGATCATTCAACACACAACTACCATCTCAAACGAACTTCAGCGCATTTCGAAATTGGAATTTCAAAGTCCTAACAATAACTCAAACAAGAATAATGAAAGAACTATCTTTTTATATTATTTTTAGGGAAAAGGGTAAAAAATACCCCTCAACTTTGGTTTATTGTTTGACTACGCCCTCGCCGTTAAAATGAAGTTATTTTTACCCCTCCTGTTACTAATTTCACCAAATTTACCCCTCAATTGGATGGAAAACCCCAAATTGACTCAGTTTAACCCAAATTTTAAAAAAAGACCCATTCCCCATTTTAAACCCAATGCCCGACCCATCCAAAGTTGAGGGGTATTTTTGACCCTTTGCCCTCAATTGGATGAAAAATCCAAATCAACTAAAACTACCCAATTTCAAGTAAATGACCCGATTTTCTCTTTTAATCCAAACCGACCCATTTATATCAAATTAGAACCCTAAACCCATCTCTCTAATCTTCTCCATCTCCTTCTTCCATTGAAACACATACTACTAAAATTGACAACAAATATTTTGTAGTTAAACTAATGCATATTTGTCCTTCCTACTAAAATTGCACCACTAGTCGGAGCTTGGAGCTCGTTCAATCATCGGATTTTGCTTTCCTGCGGGCAGATCTGAAACTATGATATTGCTTGCTTGTTGAGCCTAGCCAGATATGAAGTTGTGGCTGTTGTTTTCGAGCCTTGATTCTCGCCTGATTGTGTTGTTGGTTTGATCTGTTAGCGGTGCTTCAGTTGTTTTCCGATGGGGTTTTGGTCGGGGTTTTGTTGGTTGGTTGTTTGGAGGTCGGAGAACTGGTGGTCTGGTGGTCATTTGCTGGTTGTTTTAGCTTGGGTGATGGAGGTCTGGGTTCTGGTGGGCTGAAGTGTGGTTTTACCACTAGATTTTGGCGTGGAGAGAGTGGTGTTTGAGAGCTGTTTCAGGTCGGTTTCACGGCTGTTTGAATGATTCCGACGGTGGGTAATTTGCTTAATGTTGTTCCAGCTTGAAACTGGCCGGAAATGGAGAAGAAAGATCTTGTTGTCGTCAATGGAAAGTAGAGGAAAATGGGTTTGTTGTTAATGTTTTTTGCTTGATGTCGTTTCTGGTTCTTGGGGGTTTTTAGTGGTGGTTTCAGGTGGTCGTTTGGAGGTTGTTTTGGTGGTGTTTCGCCGGAAAACGGAGAAAATGAATGGCGATTGCCGGAGCTTGATTTGGGGTTTTAATTTGGTATAAATGGGTCGGGTTCGGATTAAAAAGAGAAAAAATTGGGTTATTTAATTGAAATTGGGTAATTTTAATTGATTTGAGTTTTCCATCCAATTGAGGGGTAAATTTGGTGAAATTAGTAACGGGAGGGGTAAAAATAACTTCATTTTAACGGCGAGGGCGTAGTCAAACAATAAACCAAAGTTGAGGGGTATTTTTGACCCCTTTCCCTTATTTTTAAACAAAATTTTGTGATAGAGATGATCTAGGAAGAACAACATCATTGAGAGGAAGGGATTTTTGTCATGTTGGACTGCCCAGATGGACTATCATGTCAACATATATGTCAAAGATAACGTTTTAAGGATATTTGTGGTCCAAAAATAAATGGTAAGGATAGTTTTGATCCCAAACATAAATAAAAGGTATATATGAGCTATTTCGAATAGTTCGAGATTAATTTTAATCTTTTTCCGTATATTTGGGCTAAAAATGTCTACAACACGACAGTATATATGACGTAGTACTCGTGCTTATTGATGACATCATGAATGAAAAGAACACGTACACAGTATCTAATACAATTTTTATTTCTTTATTCATTAATTTAAAAATAAATTAGTCATGCTGCGTGTTTGTTGGACTAATTTAATTTAATTTTTTGACAACAAACAACCGTACTTAACGCATAAACAATATCAAAGAGTTAAATGATGTAGCAACATTCACTATACAATCAAAGTGGTAAAACAGATTTACCACATTCGGTGGGGGAGGGGGGAGGCTAATGTGGTAAATATTTTTTAATTATTCTTTTTGTAAACATAACAAAGTATGTAAACAATTTCGAAGGACTATCACAAAGTAGTTTTAGAAGGACATAACAAAGTAGGCACGCAACATTCACTATACAATCAAAGTGGTAAATATTTTTTAATTATTTTTTATATAAACAACATTTGAGTTTTCTGCCTTCCAGATTTACCACATAATAAAAATACTTAGTTACAATTTAGCAAGATCAATATATAGAATCAAAATATTGATTAGCATTAACAAAAATACCATTCCATCATATAGCAAAAAAAATCCATTATACTTCCAATGTTGTTTAACTGGTGAAAGGATTTTGGTATTTTATTTTTTTTAAAAAAGGATCAATTGTTTTACTTTCTGTATCATAAATATTGTTTATACTAAAAAAGATTATCATTTTTTTGCTAGATTATCAAATTTTACAGGAACTTGTAACCAACGTTGTCATGTGGGCAGGTTGGGATAATTAATAGATTGAAATGTGAACACTGACCACAAGAAAGGGACATCAACATGTGCACACCTAATTAAAGACTTCAGATATAACAGAGAGTACCCTCTTAGTCTTACTAAAACTTGTTGATTCTTCATTGACCAACCGTACAATTTTTAGTTTCACTACATTATGGAGGTCCTAAATTTTGGGACAGAAGAGAAAAATATTGGAACATGCTTCCTTTAAAAAGGAAAAGAGACTTTTTTTGTTGATATAGTGGGGTTTGAATCCCCAACACGAGAGTGAAAAGTATTTTCACTGCCTTTTTATATCACTGAGTTGTCAATCAATTTTTTAGGAGGTTCACAAGTTAATTTACATATATATATATATTTATTTAATTTTTTAATACAAATAATACATATATATATATATATATTTATTTAATTTTTTAATACAAATACATGGTCAACGAAAAAGCTAGTGAGTTCATCCGAACCCATGAACCCCCACCTAGCTCCGCCTCTGAGTTAGAGTCATGTATGAAACTTATTATTTTAGGCATGATTTAGATATTTATGTGTTAGTTATTTCTCTTTTTATACCTATCATCATTTTTATGATTTTCTCATAAATATTGTAATAGTAATGGATATTGGTTATACGTGATTGGAAAAATATTTTTTCTATTTCACTTTATCTGAATTTTTGAGATTTAAATAATAAAATAATTATGCATGAAAGTTTAATTAACTTGTACACCACGGTCATCAAAAATAAATAAGTCTCTTTTTATTAGAATTTTTTCATGTTTTCTAAACGTCGGTTGATTCTTGAAATCTTAACAATGCTACATAAATTTGGACAGAAAGAAAATAAAGAAATGGATTAACACGCCTCACTGGAACTTCAGTTGGTGGCTAAAATTAGTTTATAGTCAAGATACTAAAGAAGTCTCATTATTGGAATTAATAGTTGAGAAATAAATAAATTAATAAGAAAACACGGCTTCACTTGTCTGCCCCTATCACATATAAGAGCGGAAACTTTACACTGCAAGCTAGTCAGATAGAGAGCTAAACAAATCAAATTAACATAACAAAAAGAGAGAAATTAATTCCGAATTAGAAAATATGGTGAGAACTCCTTTTGTTGACAAAAATGGAATAAAAAAAGGTGCATGGAGTGAAGATGAAGACAACAAATTAAGAGCTTTTATTGAAAGATTTGGTCATCCCAATTGGAGGCAATTGCCTAAATATGCTGGTAAGCAGTACTCCCTCCGTTCCCTTTTAATTGTTATGTTGCGCTTTTCGAGAGTCAATTTGACTAAATTAGATTACATTCATTCGATATTTTAAAATAAAATTTAGATATTCAAAACCTATACGAAAAATACTATAAATTACAAGTTTTTCCATATCAATATGATGAAAAAAACATCTTAGAATATATATCAAAATTCATATAGTTTGACTCTCAAACAGAAAACTATAACAACTAAAAAGGAACGAAGGAAGAAGCATGCTTTATTTTCTTATAAAAAGTTTTTTGGAAGAAAAAATAAATCCTAGTACTAATTATTTATTGTTGGAAATTTTCAGGTCTAATGAGATGTGGAAAGAGCTGCAGGTTGAGATGGATGATTCAAATTCTGAATAATTTGCAACTTTCATCACGGAATTATTCGTGTTTTGTGTGTAATATAGGGTCTTGTAGTTGTAATACATATATAAAATTTATATTGATCATCCAGTATCTACAAGTGATCGATGAGTCTATG